ATGACAAGAACAAAAAAAAGGGAGAGTTGCAGAGGTGAACACGCCTCTGCTAGAAGAAGAAGAAGAGGAGGCATACATGCCTCTGAAACTCGCCAGAGAAGGAAGAGACAAAGTGTAGATGAATCTTTTTGTTCCCATTTATAAGAGGAAAAGAGAGACGAGAGAGAGGGATGGATTGGATAGAGAGAGAAAGGTAGAAAGAGAGAGAAAGAAAGGGGGAGAGAGAGAGAGAGAGAGAGAGAGAAGGAAGAAAGAATAAGAACAAGAATGAGAAGATGGCAGTGACGGCAGCATGCCCAGATCGCTGCCGATCTGCGGCAAAGCAAGAATAAGGAGAGAGGAAGAGGAGTTGTGGGCAGCGGAGTAATGTCGGAGAAGAATATTGGAGCGCAGCAGCCAAAACGCGAATTTTGCTAATCCGTATTGTTTTTTGACTCGATTTCACTTTATCTGCATCAAATTTGAGTGTGCGATGCATTCTACGACGTGTTTCGATCGGTTCGCGGTGGTGTGGGATGGTTGGTGACGTTCTGACGGTGGTCTGGCGACATTTTGACAGCGATCCGATGATGTTGTGACGACGACACATCGAGGTACGTGCAGAGATTCTTGTGGTTATTTGTAATAAGGGCAAATTAACATCCATGGAATTTTATGAGAACTTAACTCTAGAGTAGAAATCAAGTAAGTGCATAAGCTATTAAAACTTTCGCACTTAAAACTATGACGTTTAGTAATTGATAATTAGGCATAGGATTCCGATGAGATTTTATTATTGATTATTGTGTTCTTATTTATATTTACTATTGAAATTGCTGACGAATTGTTTTGTTATGTTTTGATAATTGAATTCGTATATATATTGGTTGTAATGTAATTGGGAATAAATTAAAGATATGTAGAAGAATATAAGATGATGAATAGTTACAGTATGCGTGCTATAGGTATAAAATATATTAAATAATAAAAATTAAGAAATTTATTAGTGAGTTGAAATTAATAAATAGATATTAAAAGATTTGATAAACTCATTTAACCAGTATCACCGAGGTGTGTGTGTGTGTGTCGTCTTTTGGTGTGTGACTGTGGTGAACCCTATCCATGAATATGGCTTTAGTTAGACGTGGCGAAACGATAAAAACTGTAAATTGTATACTGTGTACTGCAAACTGTAAATTGTAAATTGAATTGTGATGTATTCACGTGGTAGAGGGGATACTTACTACTCTCGTTGATACCGGCGAAAATGACATCTCACGGTGAAACTATTTTAATAGGATATAAACCGAATAGAAAGTCATGTATAACGTTTATAATACTAAGATATTGAATTAATATCTACTATATTATTTACTATCTAAATTGTGATAGTGAATATTAAATTATACTATTTATTGAACTATTTATATCTTGAGTTATGATACTAAAATAATGAATTCTGAATATTTAATGAATAAACTAATTTATAAGGTTGTTTTAATGAACTAGAACGTAGATATCTCATGTTTTCTGAATTAAAGAGAAGTTTTATGTTTTCTAACAAATTTGACAGATTATCCTATTATTTGTTAGTACTTACATGCTTATTGAGTATATTAAGTTCATCCTATCTATTATTCATTTTTTTCATATCAGTATATTCAAAACAATGAAAGACTTACTAGGAGGTTGTTTAATTTTTTTTTTTTAATTCGAGCAATATTTAATGTTAATTATTTTGATTTTAATGAGTATTTATTTTAGAGTTTAGATATATTCAATAGATATTCAATATTTTGAACTAAATATATAAAAGATGTACTTTTTATTATTTTAAAATTTGTTACGCGAATTATTCTTATAAATTATTTTATCATAATATGGTGTTTCTACGGTCACCCAAAAAAATTCATTAATTAGATTAATTCTCAATTTTTAAAAAAAATATTATATCGGCCATAATTCTAATTTAGTTGAAAACATTAAATTAATTGATAAAAGTAGGAGATTTTAGCCATTGAGAACTTGGAACGTTGGCCAAAATTTATATTCACACACCAAAATTCTCTTACAAATGGTTAAGTATGAATACTACCTAGAAATCTTGTGTACACATAATTCATATATTATGAATATAAATAATATAAGAATTTGAACGAAGACCGGACTAGATTTTATTCATTACAAGATTACTAGAACAGAGTCAATAACAAACAAAAATTCAACCTATAAATCAACTAATCAAAAACCATTTAAAGAAAAAGATACTTAGCTGAATTATAACAATTATATATATATATATATATATATTATATAAACTTATTTTTTGATTTGTGCAAATGGGGGATTGAATCCTCAACCAGTCTCTCATCCAACACTAATGGAGGGGGAGGTAACCATTAAACCACAGTTTTTGTGGTTAATACAGTGCTTTGTTTGAATTAAGATATTTTTTAAAAAGTTTTTATAGAATATTAAAATTATGCATACGCATCTATATAATATTTTTTTAAAAATATTTTAAAATTAATTAAAATATATTAATTGGTTTCTTGCTTTTTATGAAAGCATGTTTCTTGCTTTAGGAAAGCAAGTGCATTGTTGTCAATATCTATCGTTTGATGCTTTTGGAATACAAATAAATTATGAGAACATATAAGATTGATACACATTAAAGAAATCAGGTTTTATATATATATATATATATATATATATATATATATACATAGAGTTCAACAATTTATTTATAATGTTAGACCATCTAA